CATTGCTAGTAGGTTGGAGGCCATCGCTAGTAGGTTGGAGGCATCATTGCTAGTAGGTTGGAGGCCATCCTTAGTAGGTTGGAGGCTATCGGTAGTAGGTTGGAGGCCATCGCTAGTAGGTTGGAGGCCATCGCTAGTAGGTTGGAGGCCATCGGTAGTAGGCTGGAGGCCATCGGTAGTAGGTTGGAGGCCATCTCTAGTAGGTTGGAGGCCAAGGCCATCGTTAGCAGGTTGGAGGCCGTCGCTAGTAGGTTGGAGGCCGTGGCTAGTAGGTTGGAGGCCATCGCTAGTAGGTTGGAGGCCATCGTTAGTAGGTTGTAGTAGGTTGGAGGCCATCGGTAGTAGGTTGGAGGCCATCGGTAGTAGGTTGGAGGCCATCGCTAGTAGGTTGGAGGCCATCGTTAGTAATGCAAACGTCGTATTAATCAACGGGCCCCCCCTAGAAGGTCAACAAGGTCAACAAGGTCTGAGATTGGAGGTTTTGGAGATCACATCCTCCTAATAGTGGGGATGACCTGATGATGAAAGGGAATTAGTATTTGGAAGAATTGGAATGAAAGGGAATTAGTATTTGGAAGAATTGGAATGAAAGGGAATTAGTATTTGGAAGAATTGAGATGAAAGGGAATTAGTATTTGGAAGAATTGGAGTGAAAGGGAATTAGTATTTGGAAGAATTGGAATAAAAGGGAATTAGTATTTGGAAGAGCTGGGATGGAATGATGAGATCCATGAGAGCCCAAATACTAATTCCCTTTCATCATGAGGTCCATGAGAGCTCATCATGGATGGGGTTGACTAATAGGGGGGGTACCCCACTATTAGAGGGGGGTAGGGGGTGTATGGGGGGTACCCTTTCTGAGCTTCTCAAATTGCAGATTTTGATAGAGTTTTAATAAGGGAAAATGAAAGAATTTTCCTAGAGAGTTTTTGGAAATTCTAGGAAAACTGTTGCTTTGGGAGAACATTGGTAATCAATCAGAAGATCAGTTTCACCATGGCAAGACAAGAAAATATTGAAAAGGGAAAAAGAACAAAACTAATTAAACACACACATATATATATATATATAAGTAATTATATTTTTCCTGGGGGGACAGGGGGTAGACTAATAGGGGGGGTTTCAGCCAAGCAAAATTTTTATTAGAGGGTGGTGACTGTGGAAATTCATAGTTCAAATTAGTTTATTATTGGGGCCTGAACGCTGGGTAGACTAATAGGGGGGGGGTTGGTTAATACCAGGTGCGCATTAGGTTGGAGGCCATCGTTATAGTAGGTTGGAGGCCATGCTGAGTTCAACTGCAGGCAGCTCACTCTGTTGGGCTCCGCTGGGCAAGTTGCGGCTCCGCTCCCGGCGGGGCTCCCTACGCTTGGGGCTCCTTGTTGGCGCTTCGCGGAATCCACTTTGGGATTGCCACGTGTGAAACATGTGAAACGGCTCTGTGAGACCAAATGAGACCAAATGAGACGCTTCGCCTAGGAAAAGAGTTCTCTGAAAACGCTCTCTCAAAGCATTTCGGTGCTAAAATCAACAGCCGCATCATCGCAAGAACTGTTCATAGTCGTTGCTGTTGAACTTAGGGCCTCCACCAAAATGACACTCTGTCACCGCGAGCCTTCAAGGATCGCGCGGAGACCGTGGGAAACCACATGAGCGTGTTGGTCCGCTGGTGAAGGAGGACGAACGACAGCCGGATGCAGGGCTAAGGGTTGAAAGGTGAGACGCACAGGGGCCTCTCAAAGCATTCATGTTGTATCAGAGACTTTGAGAATCCTTAGAAAACATGAAACTTCCATTTTGCTCCACTCATGAAATTCCGCCTGAACCCTCGTCCTGTAACTTTATCTTGCTGGCAATTCCACTGTTCGGCACAGCCCACTGGAGACCACCAAGCTCTAGGAGCACACCCAGCCAAACCGCAGAAAGGACTGTGGACCAACATGGACCGAAAAAAGACACGGCCAACAAGTTGCGGTCTGTGAACCCAAAGACCCTAAGACTTAAATCTAGTTGAACTCTTTTGTATTCGTTACTGGTAGCGATGATCTTATTACTAGTAACTAGTAGCTTCTAGCTACTAATAGTAATGCCCTTAATCCTAACTCTGTTGTATTCCTTTGTCATGTCTAAAACAAGAACATGCCGTAAACGATGCTCGGGGCCTCCAAGCCCATCTGCCAAGAGCTTCGATGGAGGCGACACGCCAGGCATTAGCTTGGCCGCTTTCCTGACAGAAAAACGAACACCAACGACCACGGACCAAAGCAAGAATTCTTTGATTGACTAGTAACAAGGGCATCCCTACTAGGAGCAAGGACGCTACTAGGGGCTCCTGGCCATACTACTAGGAACAAGAAGCTACTAGTAACAAGGGCATACTACTAGTAGCAAGGACGCTACTCCTTTCAGAACTTCAATATCCAAATCTGTTGCAGAACTGTCCCGGTGCCAGCTAGCCGGACGACTGGTGTCAAAAAGCCAATGGCCTGCATGGCAAGCAACCAACAACATTCTCTCTTATTGGTGTGAATCAGTTGAGTCACCTTCCTTGTATTTATGCTCATTTGTTGAACCTCTAGCTGACTTGGATTGACTAGGTGACTAGGTTTCTTCAAAGCTGCTTTGTGCGGTCAAGAAGATCTGTGCCAAGAATGAATGACCGGTGTCACCAACGGCGTCACCACCGGTATAAGCACCGGTACTTCACAAAAAGCGAGACTTGGAGACTTGGCAAAACACCGGTGCTACCACACCAGTACCTTCCTAGCTTGCGAAGTCGCCCCACCTCTGCTGGAGGTGCTTCTGCGAAGTGGTGTGTGGCCACCAGTGTGCCGTTGACCTGAGCAAATGTGCTGTTGACCTCTGCCCCATAGGAGCCCTACATGGTCCATCACGGTCCTACATCATTCGTCCTGTTTGCAGCAGTTTCTGCTTGAAGTGAAAGGACTGAATGCACCAATGCACGACAACCGATCTGCCGATCTGGCAATGACGTCGAGACGACATCAAAACCCAGCTTCTTGCTCCTAGTAGTAAGGCCAGGAGCCCCTAGTGGCGATATTGTTACTAGTAGCGATGCCCTTTGCTCCGAGTAGCTTCTTGCTCCAAGTAGCTTCGTGCTCCTAGTAGCAAAGAAAACTTGCTAGCTTTTTTAGTATGTTTTCTTCCCTCTCAACTCAAGTCTTCGGAAAGCATTTCTTCTTCCTGTAAGGCACGGAGATTCGCATCAATGCGCCACCCTCACGATTGCACCTGCCATTCACAGAACAATTCAACATCTTTTTTTTTCAACATCTTCTGCACCAACGTCCGGAGTTAAAGCCTGATGTTCGATCGTCCGAACGGTTCCACGCAGAAGCTGGCGCTCCAAAACCGGTGCCACAGCAAACGCTGTAACAATGTTCGCTACTAGTAATAGTAACAAGAAGCTATTAGAAACAAGTGCATCGCTACTAGGAGCAA